GGGACTGTACTGGGTTTCACTGGGTCCTCACTAGACCAACAGAAACCTGCTGCCACTGCACCAATTTCAGCGTGTGGTAGTGCGGAGCTCCATGGGTTTGTTTTGTTTTTTATCCTTTCCGGTTTTGGACTTCAGGAATAGACGCTCTATGTACAATCAAGGTAAGAATGCATAGGTAGATCATACAGATGACTCCCATCAGGTGGAGTCCGGTTCTTAGTGCCCTATAGGACAGAGGAGACCCACCCCCTGGTGTTTTCAGGGAATGCAGATCTTCATGGAAGCAGCAACTTTCACCTTTCTCCTATAGAGGAGTGTTGGTCTCAAACTCCTGACCCTGCAGCTAGCAGTCCAAATGGCCACCCACCCTGCCACCAGCGCTCCTTGAACATGCCATTGGGTTTTCCAAGCTCCAATCTTCATGGAAGATGATTCTCAGCCTTTCTTCCACTGCAACGCTGTCAGAGAGTGGATGCAGCACATGGACAGGACAGTGGAGAACTGCCTTTTTGGATTTCTGGAGCTGTAAATCTTTATGGGAGCAGAAAGTCTCATCTTTCTCCCATGAAGCAGCTGGTGGGTTTGAACTGCCAACCGGGTGGTTAGCAGCCCGATTCTTAGCCCATTTTGACACTGGGGCTCCTTCTAGTGCTACCAAAAGAACAAACACAAAACAAACTCACTGCCATTGGAGCTGGTGTCAATTCATCGGGATCCCATAGGAAGGCTACAACAGCCCCCTGTGAGTTTCTGAGACTGTAAATCTTTACAGTCCCCTCTTTCTCCCACAGAGTGGCTGGTGGTTTCAAACCGCTGACCCTGTGGTTATCAGCCCAACATGTAACCAACCATAATGCTACCAGGGCTCCTTAGAGCAGCAGTTCTCAACCTGTGGGTCGCAACCCCTTTAGGGGTCCGAATGACCCTTTCACAGGGGTCGCCCGATTCATCACAGTAGCAAAATGACAGTGATGAAGTAGCAATGAAAATAATTTTATGGTTGGGGGGTCACCACCACATGAGGAACTGTATGAAAGGGCCGCAGCATTAGGAAGGTTGAGAACCACTGCCTTAGAGCATTACAAGGTGCATTTAAAGCACAAACCTTTTGGTTAGTAGTCAGATGCAAATTGCTTGTGATACACCCAAGTTAAGCACAGTGCAAGCTGGGTCATCCGACAGTGGCACAAGGTTTACAGGAAAACAGAAAGCAAACAAACCCAAACCGAAGTGCCCAAATGTAAACCTCTGCTCTCTTGTGCTTGTCTCCCGGACTGTAAACTCTTCCTTTCACCCGGTTCCTAAACTACAAGCATTCCCCACTACTTCAATGCTTGTCTATATAACTTAATCTCTAATGTTTGCTAATTCTTATTTTCTCTAAGCAGCAGCAGCAATAAATCCCTTGTGTGTATTTTTAAAGTCTGCTCCAACACACACAAAAGCTAGACAACCAGGGCTTTTAAATGAGGAGCGAGGGCCTCTGGCGTTTAGCCTGATGAGTGCGCAAGTGCAGGCAGAGAGATATTGACCGATAAACCCACAAAAATCTCTCCTGCTCTTTTGTTACAGGAGACAGCAAGGGGAAGGTGCCCTTGAACGTGCCAGAGAAATAACCATTTCATCAAGATTCCTGGATCAATAAGTCTCTGAACCTGGAAGAAAATGGATTCCTGGTCAGGAGAATAGAAGCCAAGGAGGGTCCAAGTCTGTCGGTCAACACCGCTCCACGCTACCAGAAAGGCGCAAGAAACTGTACCCTGGAGAGAAAATGCTGGGGCAGACCAGTATGTGCGCAGCCGCTCTAAGCGGCAAGGGGGAGCGGGAGTCTACTGTTACTCCTCCTTCGGAAGGCTCCCATGTGCCATGGGGTGGACAATTCAGAATGCCCTAGTCTGACCTTACTCTAGTGCAGTGGTTCTCAACTTTCCTGATACAGTTCCCTTTCATACAGTTCCTCATGTGGTGGTGACCCCCCAACCATAAAATTATTTTTGTTGCTACTTCATCACTGTCATTTTGCTACTGTGATGAATTGGGTGACCCCTATGAAAGGGTTGTTGGACCCCTAAAGGGGTCACAACCCACAGGTTGAGAACCGCTGTTCTAGTGGGGCTCATATCCTCTCTAGGAAGAAGGAAGGATCTAGCCCTCTTGGAGAGCGAGATATGATCGAAGGGCTCTAGAAGGATCTCAGAGGTGAGTGAGAAGGCCCAGCTCGGATAATCGGTCAGCCTCCTGTAATTGCTCCCCGAGACAAGATCTATGATACAGCGGACACCGCACAAAACACTGGAAAATCAAAGCTGGAGACACAGAGTCTGCTCACCACCTAGGATGGAGACCGAGGATGTCCCCTCCCTGTAGGAAGGACAGCCACAGATCCATGGACATCACTTGATGGGATGTGGAGGACCAGCGCTTGGTCCAATGAACCTTCTGCGTGGCCTTGGGCAACTTGCTTTTTCCTTTCTGAGCTCGTTTTCTCATCTCGAGAAAGAAACCTGGACCCAGCCCCCAGTGCCCTTCCTCCCTCAGCAGCCCTGGTGTTCTCATCTCTCCATGGGCGCTCTGCTCCCGCTGCCTGGATGCCTGCCTGCCTTGGCTGCTGGCCGACCTCGGTGCCAGCAGAAGGCCGGAGGCAGCAGCGTGGGCTGACACAGACCTCAACATCAAAAAGGAACAGCCTTTAATCAGTGGTAAAGGGTTATAATACACTGGTATGCCACCTCCCCAGAGACCTGGGCTCTTGGGGTCGTCTACAATGACTAGTGGAAGGAGTTGTCATGCGGGGAGTCCTCGTGTGTAGCAAGGAGTCCTGTGGGGTAGGGGTAACATGCTGGTCTGTGAGCCCTGAAGTCCACAGTTTGAAACCACCAGCCACTCTGGGGGAGAAAGATGGGGCTTTCTACTCCTTCAAACACGCAGTCTTGGAAACTCACAGGGGCAGTTGGATGCTGTCTGGGAGGGTTGCTGTGGTGGACATGGACTCGGTGGCAATGAGTTTGGTTTGGTTTGGAGTGTCTATCAGGAGCCCAGGGGGTGCAGGGGCTGAAGCACAGGGTGGCTAACCACTGACCTCTCCAAGGGAGACGGAGGAAGAGGCTGCCTGCTCCCGGAAAGATGTGCATGCTCAGAAATTCAAAGGAACAGTTCTACGGTGTCCTATAAGGGCAGCTAGGAGTTAGAATTGACTACATGGCCGTGGGGTGTTTCAGCTGCATAATGCAAACCACATAGTGCTAGTCGGGGGCTTCCATGGACCCCAAAGGAATAGAGAACAGACTCCTGTAAGCCCTTTTCCTATCACTCATAAATTGCACATACTGGGGAAACGGAAGCAAACCCATTAGCATCTGCCATCCATGTGAAGACTGTCCTGGTTGGGGAGAGGGAAGACTGCAGAGATGTGACCTCTGGCTAATGTCAACGCCTGTGCTGCTTAGAGTGGGGGTCCTGGGACGCCCCTTCCCCAAAGAGAAGGCACATCATGACAAGAACCTGTCGTCCCTCTAACGGAGCGGAAGCCTACGAGCATGAAAGATACATGAAGAGCACTAAGGCCAGAGCCAGCCCGCATCTCTTTGCCCTGAGCGGCAATGCCCACCCCCCACCTCCCAGGAAGGAACTTGCCATGAAGGAAATGTCAGTTCACCAAAGAACAAAAGCAGAGGGTACACTACACGACACGATTGTAGGTTATGTTGTATATTATATCATATTAATTCTATTACAACCATTTGGTGAAGATCCAAGACATACTGCAAGTAAAAAATCAAGTCATAGAAAAATCCTTTTTGGTGGATGAAGGGAGATGTCGGACAGTGTAAGAGATGACAAAATAATAATAATAATATATAAATTATCAAGGGTTCATGAAGGAGGAGAGAGCGGGGAGAGAGGGGTCAAAATGAGGAGCTGATGCCAAGGGTTCAAGTAGAAAGCAAATGTTTTGAGAATAATGATGGCAACAAATGAACAAATGTGCTTGACACAGTGGATGTATGTATGGATTGTGATAAGAGTTGTATGAGCCCCCAATAAAATGATTTATTTAAAAATGAAGGAAAAATTATTTTCGATCTAACTTATTCCCATGGCGGAAGATATACACACACACATTATTCAGTTTTTCCTCTAGAGAGGCAAGTGGGATTGACTTAGGAGGGTTTGAGGGCTTTCATGTTCCCCTCTATTCTTCTACAATATTTTCTTAACTCAAGCAGTATCCACACGTGACTTAAGAAAATTTCCCCACCGTTGTCATCTTTACGTTTCCCAAATAAACTCATCAGTGAAGCCAGACTTCAATAAAAAATAAAATAATAAAACCTTTAGCTTACATTTCAGAAGAGGACCGCACCTAGTGCACTAAAAAAATTAAATCAGGCAGTATCCCAGGGCCAGGCAGGCCTGCCGTCGCCCTCCTTGCAGGCTCCTTAGGGCGTGGCTTTGTCACCTGTGCTATCAGAAGGTGTTTGGAGGTGTGGCTAGGGCCAACGCTGAAATGACAGGTTAGAGACACACCTGAAACCTTTAAAACGGCCTGGCGTCTCCTCTCCACTGGTCCCAGCTGGGCGGGATGAGGGGCGGGGGGCACGTCCCAACACACCGCAAGCGGGCGGGGCAGCCCCTTCGTTACACTATTAATTACACGATGTATTTGGGTGAGTGCGGGCAGCCGGAATGAGAATGGAGGGTCCGAGGGGGCAGCCAGGTAAACCTTCCGCACAGCCGAAGGCTCAAAATACACCCTCCAGCCCCAGCCCAGCAACCGCGCGCTGGGCCGGCAAACACGCCCGCCGAGATGGATGGGCTTCCCCGGGGGGCGCTGCTCAATGAAAGGCTCTTAATGAAGAGTCTGCGCTCTCTGCCACCAGCCCTCCGAGAACATGTCGCACGGCTTCCCATCGACCATCCCCCGCGCGGTGGCCGAGCCCCGCAGGGCCGCTCCAACTTCTGCAGCCGTGCACCCGGATCGCGAGGATATTTAGAATTACCTTTCTCCTTCACCATGGCAACGGGTCCTGGGCCGCGCAGGGCGGAGGGCTACGGGAATGGACGCTTCGCCCCGGGGCCTCGCCCTGGCCTCCCGCGGGGCAGTCCCGGGCTGCTGGCCGCCTCCGAGCCCGCGCCCTGCCCGCGCCCCAGCGCTCTGCCGAGTGGCAGCCGCACCCCGCCCGGGACGCTTCCCTGCGGGCGCCGCCGCCGCCTCCCTCCGCTCCAGCGGCTGTTGTAACAAATGCAAAATTCCACTGTCCTAATCTCCGGTCACTGACACCACCTTGCATTCCTCTTGCCGGGCCCAAAGAAAACCGGCTGCAAAAATGCTCCGGAGCCTTGGCCGGCTCCCAGGGTCTGATAAATGATTGCCAGAAACGGGAGGGGGTGGGGGGAGCGGCGAGGGACTGTCGCCCGCCCTAAGTCAAACCGAGTCCCTAGTGAGCTCCATTCGTTTCCCGTTAGAGTGCTTTCATTTCTCACGCCAGTGCAGTTCTAGCCAACGGAAGTGATCACAATTAGCCTCGGTGGGAGCGTGGACGAACCGGGCTGCCTTCCCCTTCCTTGTCCTCCACGCCGAATGTCCCGGAGGCTCCGTTATCATAGAAAACTGAACCGTGACCTGTATTCGCTCTCCCCACCCCTATGCTGCACCTAAGTGGGAGGGGTAGAAGGACCCAGTGGTATTGGGGGCTTGGTGGTGGTGGGGTGGATGGACTGCGAGCCAGCCAGGAAAGAGGAACTTGCCTCAATTGGCTTCTCTAGGATCACATTCAAGATGGCAGCAGAAATGGGTTACCCAGTCAATGGAATCCTGACCCCACTTCTGGTTTATGGTTTCCCAGACAAGTGCCTGAAATACATGTGAACGTACCCCCAGCTCTGGGGTGCACTGGGCTGCTGACCACGAGGTAGGGGCTTCAAAGTCCCTGGCAGCTCTCAGAGAGCAGGATTTTATCTCAGAAAACCCCAGATAGAGATAGTCTCAGACATCCACAGCCAGAGTCAGCTTGATGGCAGGGGGGTTGCTTTGGGGGCCAGATTGAGGCTACACAGCAGCAGTACCTCCTCATGTGCGGGTTGGTGGGTTTTTTGTTGGGGTTTTTTTTGTTTTTTGTTTTGGCTTCTGACTACAGGGTCACAGACAAGCGACTTCCCCGGGTCACCAAGCGGATCCCCAGCCCATTCCAGCCCTATCCTGCCAAGCTCAGGTGGCCCATCCACCCACCATGTAGGAGAAACGTGATGCGCGGGAGACAGAAAGGAGGCAGCAGATGGCCAGGCCAGCTTTCCGAACCAGAATGCACCGCCAGTATGAGCCTGTATTTACTGCAAATATTGTACCGTATTGGGTCGCACAGCGCCAAGGTGGCAGCAAGGAGCGACAGAGATCAACCTGCCTCATCTCTGGCTGCGCGATGCTGCAGCTTACTGGTCACCTTTGGCCAGCCGTTTCTTGCTGGTGTCTGATGTGCACAGATGTCAGGTGGCTGTGCTGTTCCCTCCTCTGTGGCTGAGGGCTTCCCCGTGAATAGTGTGGCCATCTCAGCCTGCCTGTAAAAGGCTCCGTCTCCAGCCCCAAGGGTTGTCTTTTCTATCACACACCCTTCACCCTCATCGCTCCCTGCCCTCACAGCAACCCTGCAAGGTCAGGTTTTTCCTAACTCAATGACCAGCTGGAGAGGGAGTCCTGGAGAGCCATTAAGCACTTCTTGAGCCTCCATTCCTAACAGGACAACTCAAGGTCCTGGGCAGAGATGACTCCGGGGAGTGGCCAGGGCTCAGGAGCACCGGGGAACCCGTCCTTCGCATCCCAAATGGTCAGCACTAACCCTGCATTTGCCCACCTCCTCCAATCCAATGCCCCCTCCAAGCCCTAAGGAGATGCCGACACCCAAAATGAACTGCCGAGAGCTGGAATTAATTAAGGGCTGAGAGCCTAGCAGGTGAATTTGTTTTATTATGTTTTTGCACCATAACTAGATGAGCGCCTCACATACGCACCTCTCTCAGCTTTCCTCTCGTATGCTCAGTTCAAAGCTAAGGAAACAGCTAGCACACCCCCCCCTTCCCCCTCTCTTTCTTCCATAATAGAATTAAACATCATTGGATTTCTATTGCCAATCACACATAAGTGGTTTCAGATGCTGTGAATGCAGTCAGTCTAATCTCTCCCTTAAGCGGGCTGGCAGTTTTGCATCCAGAGAATGAAGTGTTGTAGCCCATCTGGTCCCTTATTGCTCACCTGGACACCTCCGTGGAAAAAGGGCAGCTGGGGGGGGGGGGCAGGCTAAGCAGAAACAGCTGCTGCCTCCTCTTTTCCAGAGTAGCCTTCTCAAAAGGAAAATACTACAGAGGGGTTGAGAGATTTGTTCCTTGCTCCCATGTTTTCCATGAGAAGAGTTTTCCTGTGCCGTAGTCAAAGTGATGAGTCACCGGCATTCAGCCTTTGGTAGCTAAATAACTGTCAGATGGCACAAGGCCCCCCACCCCACTCAACTACCACCACCAGACGCTGCTACTTTAGGATGAAAAGTATCCACTTGGCACTTTGAAGATAACCGAAGCGGGATGGCTCCGGCTATTTCTGGAATGTGGGAGAGTAAAACCAAATTTTGTTTTGGTTTGGTTTTTGTCTCCTAGCCTCGCTGGCAAGAGTCCTTAAAAGCGTGGAGACCAGAAGCATGGAGCACATAATCGCTGCTTTACAGGAGTGTGTGTAGTGCCTGAGAAGGAAGACAGCACCTCTTCGGATTCTGCTCTAAAGAGGCCTTCCAACGCACCGCACCATCTCATTCCATGGTGCCCAGCGAGGGTGTCGCTCTCCGGTTTTATTTGTTGCTTTGTTTCCCCCATACTGACTCACTGCCGCCTGAAGCACACTCACAAAATGATGCAAGGATTGGCCCACAAGTGACCAAGAGACACAAACCATTTTGTTGGAGAGCAAAGCTTGTTAGCACATCGCCACACTGGGCACAAATTCAAAGACACATCATTTCAGTAGGGGCCGTGCCAATTAAGACAAACATGACAAGAGGAAACCAAGGAACCTGGC